TATTATTATTATTATTAATGAAAATATTGATAACTTTTATGTTACTACTACTAGCATTGATAATCATTATCATCATCATAATAACAATTATCATAATAACTAATAGCAATGATAAAAATATAATAATAGTAATAATAATAATAATAATAATAACAATAATAATTATAATAATAATAATAATTACTACTACGACAAAAATACAATATCAAAAGTAATAACAGTTAACATCATACCCCAAAAAATCTCTACAAACAACAACAAAACAAAATCTACCAAACCATGTTTTAGTATTTATTTAAGTCACCTAAAACGGCATTTTCGCTTTCTTCCCAGACAATGACTTATTTTCTGAAACGGTCGTGACTTACCAGGGACACCCTATTACCACACCAGCGAGCATCATATCCATTATTTTCTCTCTCCACCTCGATGTAGGCGCCGTGGCAGTCCACAGTGTAGGCAGCGGATAAGTTGTGGAAAGTCATCAGTAGGTAAAGACCAGGTTCCGTCTGTGAACGAGGGATGGTTATGTTAAATAAATGGACAAGCTAAGCCGGACCGTATATGGAAGACAAAGCTAGCACTTCGCAAATCTTAAATGAATGATTGAGGTTGATGATGATTATGATATTTTTCTTAGGGTTGGATTAAGGTGAGAATCAGTTAAAGTTGGGGGTTATTTTGAAGGGTCAGCTTCAAAGAATGGATATAATGATATAAAATATATATTGTCAGAATTTGTGTGGTATATTTCTATACAGGTGTCCATGCCAGCTAAGACTGAATTATGTGGAAATATGTTGATGAAGGGAAGTGAAGTAACTCTGTTGAAAGATTTTAGCAATAGGGGAATTACGAGTAATAATGTTATTAAAAATTAGAGGTGCAGTACCTGAACAACCGTTTTTTTCCTCTATAAGCAAAGGTAAACTTTTACAATAATATTACGTATTGTTGTACAGTTTTCTGATGAATAAACTCCAGTAATTATATTTGTCCAGTAATTATATTGGATTATGTTAATGAAAACATTCTGATACATTTATCTTACTGTTTATGATCACTTTGATGAATATGAATATGCCGAACATAACATAATGTGATACAGACCTTGCGTCTATGAATCTTTGAAGCAGGAAGTAAACCTTAAAATCATCAATTCCAAAATGCATCTAATTTAACACATTCATAATCCCTCCCTAACAAGAGCCAATACACTGACACTACAACACGTAGAACTGACCCTTATGTTCCACTCGCAGAAGATCTGTTCCCCCTCGCGCGGGGCGGAGCGTTTAAGCCTCTCTGTCTCCGGAGGTGAATTAGGGTCGAGGAACTTCTTCAGTAGCGCGTAAGGCAGTGTGTTGAGGTAGCTGTGGGCGGGAAAACAGACGTGAGTGGGCGGGGTGGGTGGACTTTCAGGTGGGTGTCAACAAAAGGAATGACAAGATATTTTCTTTTCTTTTTTGAAATGGGGTTTGAGTGGTATGATGGATGTGCGCTCATTATACCTAGTGCACATATGTACATAGGATCACAACATAATCACTTGTTTATTTATTGTGCAGTTATATTTTCCCTTTTTAACTATCTCAAAAATTAGGTACAGACAAAACAGTAAGTAAATAAAAGTTATAAAATAGGGGAAAGCTAAATCACTTACTCGAAGAACTGAGGTCCAAGGAGGACATCGTGTTCGGACTTCGAGGAATGCGACGGGAAATCCTCGGAGCCGAAGGCGCTCCTAACAGCGCTGTCTTCGTAGAGCCTTGGGAAGTCCTGACCGGTTGGGAAAACTGTGTAGTCCGAATCTACAGGCTTGGCACCTGGTACCTTTTGGCGGGTTAAAACGCATTAGTGAGAACAGCAAGACTGCAGAGTGGTGAAATCATCTACCTCCTTTTTTATCCATATTCTACATTCAAAAAAGAAAGAAAATCTTTGCGCCTCACCTTCCTGTAGCTGAACAGAGCGGGGTCGATGCCGGGGACGTCGAGAGGAGAGTAGAAGGCAGAGTACACGCGGCCCGTGCTGTCGTGGGAGCCGTGCTGTCCGGGCTCCTCGCGGGACTTGGGGAAGGACCATATCTGAGTGAACAAGAAACAGTTCAGTGACCATCGTTAATCATTAAACTATATATCATCTACGAGTGTATTTGTCCATCTAGCAGTAGCATATTTAGTTGAGTGCAGGTTTTTTATATTTTATTACGTTCTTCACACATCTGCACAATTTATAATCAGAATTATAATTATTATTAATGTAATTATTATTATTAGTTACTTATAGCTCTTAGAAAAGCCTCACCTGACCATGCGCAACGAATGGTTTCGAAGGGGGAGGGTGGTTTTCTTGAAGAATACCGCCATTACCATCGTCTTCCACTGCGACCTGGCCCAGTGATGCAGGTGTTACTACCCCATCCGGTGCCATGTTCGGAGGTACATTTAAACCCTGAGCATCTGAGGTTTTGAAAGGAGCTGCAGAGAAGCCGTTGTTGTAAGATTCGGGTTTGTCATTGTTATATGAAGATCCGTCTGTCTGATCTCGTGTATATTCCTCTATAGGAATAGGGAAAGGTCTGTCTTTGTCAAAGAGGGTGTCTGGTAGGAAGGGAGAATCATAAGAGTCTGCAAAGTCGATGGACGGAATTGGTGAAAACTCTACACTGGGAGGTGGCTTCTCTGACGTGGTCCGTTCTGTAGTTGCGTTAACAGTGTCTGCGGCATAGTCTGGTGCGTTGCCAAGGCGCTTATCTTCTTCGCGAGTATTGAATGAGGTAGAGAGAGGCAGGGCAGATAGGGGTGCAAAGGTCACAGTAGTCCGGGGTGGGTTGGTTGTGATTGGGAAAGGTGTGTATTGAGGAGTCATAAGGTCCTCCGCAGAAGGCGTGGTTGCTTTGGTTCTTAGATTGAATACAGGATTTGTTAAATCAGAAAGGTTGACTCCAGTGTATGCATCATGCTTGTAATAGTCCCCAGGATAAAGTACTTCCTGTTTAGTGCCTATAGGTACATCCTCTACGGTACCAGTTCGTACACCTTGTGTTTCTGGCTTGGAGCTTTCAAAACCAAACTTACTCGACACATCAATGGAAAACCCGGTGTTGTGCCCCTGAACACCGTGAGTGGAATGGGTAGCATCATGAGAGACATGGGATGGGGAGCCATCTGATGAGCCTCCAAGTTTTGGGGCTTCCATGAGGAAGAAGGGGTCGGGAGTCTTAACAACAGGTCGGTTTGGTTTGAAATGTTGTCCTTCCTGCTTATTTTCTGTGTTCTGAGGATACTGGTTGTTAACAGATCCAGCCACGTTATCTAGAATACGATAGATCCCATTCAAGAGGGAATTTTCTTCAGTCTGCTGAGCATCATTTTGTCCACTGCCTCCTAGAGTGTCACTAAAACTGCTTTCTGCTATCGTTGCATCAGAGTTCGTTGAGATCTCAGAAGATTCAGCAGGTTTCTTTTCTTCTTTTGCAACTTGGCTCTCACGGTCTGTGGTTTCAGTATTTTCACGGTATTCATACACAGATCCATCATCCTCATAAGTTACAGGATCTCTGTAGTTTATGTTATCATCGCTTGCCTCATTCTCATGCTTTAAGGGAACATACTTGACCTCCACAGGCTCGTACTGAATATATAATGGCACAGCATTTGGACTACCAGGAAGCTTGATGAAGAAAGGTGAGTCTCCCCCATATTCTGTAAAGCCTTCGTCATCCTTACGGCTGAAAATTCCGGGAATATCAAAATGATTTGGAGGTCTTGCTTCAGGGGCTAAGGTTTCCTCCTCTCTATCTCTATCTTTTGAAACCTCGCCTAATCTATCAATAAAGGATGATGGAAGAAGGATTGTTGCAAGATCTGGCTCACTTGTTGTTGATAACAAGCTCTGCTCAGTAGCCTTTAATGTTGCTTCATCATCAGTCTTTATAACTTCACTCGTTTCACCTTTTCTCAAAGTCTCAAAGTCATGGCTACTTTGCGTAGATGAGGAAACTGACATCATGTCTTCAGAGCCACCAGCACCTGCTGAGCCGTGATTTTCTTGGGAACCACTCATGTTGGTCTTTTGGCTCACATAATTCCAGAAATACTCTGTAGGTTCTTCACGCACAGCAGGTTCAGCAGATACTGGACTAGGGAGATCTGTTGATTTGCTTGTTGAAATCTTCGAGATGCTAGCTGTGGTTGTAATGGCATCAGGTTTGGCAGTTGAAATTTCTTGTTGATCAGAGGCTGTTTTAGGTTCATTTGTCACGACATCTGATTTCTCGGACAGCTCGTCTGGTTGTTCTGTTATAGTCTTATTGTTCTGGGGCAGAGAATCAGTGCTTTCACCCTTTATATTTAAACTGATGGTGTTATTGTCTCTTTCCTGTGTTTCCGTTGCAGTTTCTGGTTTGTTTGTTTGGTTATTGGATACCTGGTCAGCCAATTCTTCTAGCTTGTCAATGAGTGCTTCTAAACTGTCAGTTATAATGCCCGGTTTCTTAACCTGAACATCTGGTTTAGGTTCATTTGTCACGACATCTGATTTCTCGGACAGCTCGTCTGGTTGTTCTGTTATAGTCTTATTGTTCTGGGGCAGAGAATCAGTGCTTTCACCCTTTATATTTAAACTGATGGTGTTATTGTCTCTTTCTGGTGTTTCCGTTGTAGTTTCTGGTTTGTTTGTTTGATTATTGGATACCTGGTCAGCCAATTCTTCTAGCTTGTCAATAAGTGCTTCTAAACTGTCAGTTATAATGCCCGGTTTCCTAACCTGAACATCTGGTTTAGGTTCATTTGTCACGACATCTGATTTCTCGGACAGCTCGTCTGGTTGTTCTGTTATAGTCTTATTGTTCTGGGGCAGAGAATCAGTGCTTTCACCCTTTATATTTAAACTGATGGTGTTATTGTCTCTTTCTTGTGTTTCCGTTGTAGTTTCTGGTTTGTTTGTTTGATTATTGGATACCTGGTCAGCCAATTCTTCTAGCTTGTCAATGAGTGCTTCTAAACTGTCAGTTATAATGCCCGGTTTCCTAACCTGAACATCTGGTTTAGGTTCATTTGTCACGACATCTGATTTCTCGGACAGCTCGTCTGGTTGTTCTGTTATAGTCTTATTGTTCTGGGGCAGAGAATCAGTGCTTTCACCCTTTATATTTAAACTGATGGTGTTATTGTCTCTTTCTTGTGTTTCCGTTGTAGTTTCTGGTTTGTTTGTTTGGTTATTGGATACCTGGTCAGCCAATTCTTCTAGCTTGTCAATAAGTGCTTCTAAACTGTCAGTTATAATGCCCGGTTTCCTAACCTGAACATCTGGTTTAGGTTCATTTGTCACGACATCTGATTTCTCGGACAGCTCGTCTGGTTGTTCTGTTATAGTCTTATTGTTCTGGGGCAGAGAATCAGTGCTTTCACCCTTTATATTTAAACTGATGGTGTTATTGTCTCTTTCTTGTGTTTCCGTTGTAGTTTCTGGTTTGTTTGTTTGATTATTGGATACCTGGTCAGCCAATTCTTCTAGCTTGTCAATAAGTGCTTCTAAACTGTCAGTTATAATGCCCGGTTTCCTAACCTGAACATCTGGTTTAGGTTCATTTGTCACGACATCTGATTTCTCGGACAGCTCGTCTGGTTGTTCTGTTATAGTCTTATTGTTCTGGGGCAGAGAATCAGTGCTTTCACCCTTTATATTTAAACTGATGGTGTTATTGTCTCTTTCTTGTGTTTCCGTTGTAGTTTCTGGTTTGTTTGTTTGGTTATTGGATACCTGGTCAGCCAATTCTTCTAGCTTGTCAATAAGTGCTTCTAAACTGTCAGTTATAATGCCCGGTTTCCTAACCTGAACATCTGGTTTAGGTTCATTTGTCACGACATCTGATTTCTCGGACAGCTCGTCTGGTTGTTCTGTTATAGTCTTATTGTTCTGGGGCAGAGAATCAGTGCTTTCACCCTTTATATTTAAACTGATGGTGTTATTGTCTCTTTCTTGTGTTTCCGTTGTAGTTTCTGGTTTGTTTGTTTGATTATTGGATACCTGGTCAGCCAATTCTTCTAGCTTGTCAATAAGTGCTTCTAAACTGTCAGTTATAATGCCCGGTTTCCTAACCTGAACATCTGGTTTAGGTTCATTTGTCACGACATCTGATTTCTCGGACAGCTCGTCTGGTTGTTCTGTTATAGTCTTATTGTTCTGGGGCAGAGAATCAGTGCTTTCACCCTTTATATTTAAACTGATGGTGTTATTGTCTCTTTCTTGTGTTTCCGTTGTAGTTTCTGGTTTGTTTGTTTGATTATTGGATACCTGGTCAGCCAATTCTTCTAGCTTGTCAATAAGTGCTTCTAAACTGTCAGTTATAATGCCCGGTTTCCTAACCTGAACATCTGGTTTAGGTTCATTTGTCACGACATCTGATTTCTCGGACAGCTCGTCTGGTTGTTCTGTTATAGTCTTATTGTTCTGGGGCAGAGAATCAGTGCTTTCACCCTTTATATTTAAACTGATGGTGTTATTGTCTCTTTCTTGTGTTTCCGTTGTAGTTTCTGGTTTGTTTGTTTGATTATTGGATACCTGGTCAGCCAATTCTTCTAGCTTGTCAATAAGTGCTTCTAAACTGTCAGTTATAATGCCCGGTTTCCTAACCTGAACATCTGGTTTAGGTTCATTTGTCACGACATCTGATTTCTCGGACAGCTCGTCTGGTTGTTCTGTTATAGTCTTATTGTTCTGGGGCAGAGAATCAGTGCTTTCACCCTTTATATTTAAACTGATGGTGTTATTGTCTCTTTCTTGTGTTTCCGTTGTAGTTTCTGGTTTGTTTGTTTGATTATTGGATACCTGGTCAGCCAATTCTTCTAGCTTGTCAATGAGTGCTTCTAAACTGTCAGTTATAATGCCCGGTTTCCTAACCTGAACATCTGGTTTAGGTTCATTTGTCACGACATCTGATTTCTCGGACAGCTCGTCTGGTTGTTCTGTTATAGTCTTATTGTTCTGGGGCAGAGAATCAGTGCTTTCACCCTTTATATTTAAACTGATGGTGTTATTGTCTCTTTCTTGTGTTTCCGTTGCAGTTTCTGGTTTGTTTGTTTGGTTATTGGATACCTGGTCAGCCAATTCTTCTAGCTTGTCAATAAGTGCTTCTAAACTGTCAGTTATAATGCCCGGTTTCCTAACCTGAACATCTGGTTTAGGTTCATTTGTCACGACATCTGATTTCTCGGACAGCTCGTCTGGTTGTTCTGTTATAGTCTTATTGTTCTGGGGCAGAGAATCAGTGCTTTCACCCTTTATATTTAAACTGATGGTGTTATTGTCTCTTTCTGTGTTTCCGTTGCAGTTTCTGGTTTGTTTGTTTGGTTATTGGATACCTGGTCAGCCAATTCTTCTAGCTTGTCAATGAGTGCTTCTAAACTGTCAGTTATAATGCCCGGTTTCTTAACCTGAACATCTGGTTTAGGTTCATTTGTCACGACATCTGATTTCTCGGACAGCTCGTCTGGTTGTTCTGTTATAGTCTTATTGTTCTGGGGCAGAGAATCAGTGCTTTCACCCTTTATATTTAAACTGATGGTGTTATTGTCTCTTTCTTGTGTTTCCGTTGTAGTTTCTGGTTTGTTTGTTTGATTATTGGATACCTGGTCAGCCAATTCTTCTAGCTTGTCAATAAGTGCTTCTAAACTGTCAGTTATAATGCCCGGTTTCCTAACCTGAACATCTGGTTTAGGTTCATTTGTCACGACATCTGATTTCTCGGACAGCTCGTCTGGTTGTTCTGTTATAGTCTTATTGTTCTGGGGCAGAGAATCAGTGCTTTCACCCTTTATATTTAAACTGATGGTGTTATTGTCTCTTTCTTGTGTTTCCGTTGTAGTTTCTGGTTTGTTTGTTTGTTTATTGGATACCTGGTCAGCCAATTCTTCTAGCTTGTCAATAAGTGCTTCTAAACTGTCAGTTATAATGCCCGGTTTCCTAACCTGAACATCTGGTTTAGGTTCATTTGTCACGACATCTGATTTCTCGGACAGCTCGTCTGGCTTGTGTCTCATCTGTCACAACTTCATAAGAGGAACTGGTAACATCTTCAGGTGGGTTCCTTGATATATTGCCATTATCAGAGGAGGATTGAGTTGCAGTAAATGCATCATCTGTGTTATCATCTGTAACTCCCTCTACTCTGGAAGATTCATCTTGTGCAGGGGAGCTAATTGCTACCTTGCTTCCTTGTTCCTTGATTATGACAGAGCTACTTCCAGTCAACTTCTGATTGGTCAGAATTTCGTCCAGCATAGCCTGGTTTTGCAAAATAAGATATGGGATAGAAAACACGGTAGTTGTTTCCACTGTGCTTTCTGAACTACTGTTTTCAGAGCTGTCATCGAATGAAGTATCTGCCACGTCATAGGAAACAGTTGTTATTTCCAAGCCATCACCTTCTGAGTTCCTGTTTTGTAAGGAAGTCACGTCCGTGCTGCTCACTGCTACTGTAGCCTGTGGTTCAGCCGTAGTTTTTACATCATCCATTGAGAATTCAAGAGTTGGATAGACATATTTTTGCTCAGAACTTGTAACAGAAGGCACTACTACCACTTTATTATCAGTCGTTGGTGAGACTGCTTGCTCGCTCTTATTCTGACCGTAAGGCCTGTCCTGAGCCAAAAGAGAGTCCACAAGACTTTCATAGTAATCATAACCCTTGAAGCCATCTTCATCAATAACATCTGGGTAGTCATAAATTACTTCCTGTGTCGTTTCTTCCAACGGTGCCTCTGTGGTTGTCATCTCCAACATGCTGTGGTCCATAAAGCCTGCCATACTTAAGGAATCTGTTCTGAGTGTTGTCTCTGGTTCTTCATCCTCCAGGGCAAAGGGTGATTCAGCCTCAGTCACGACTTCTACCTGAGCTTCGTCCTCCACGGCATCGCTCCTTACAAGCGTTATTTTGTCTCGGTGTTCGACAGGAAGCTCTGCTGAAGTCAAGTTGGCATTTGTCTTCTCGCTTTTGTTCTTGTTGTTTGCAATGTCGAAAAGGTCTTTTATGTTAATAGAAAAATCACCTACAGGGACTTGTATCTCCTCAGGTGCATTCTCCAGGGCAATGGTTAGACTATCAATTATCTCATTGAAAAAACTATCTGACAGAGAACCATCATTGCCACTACTTGCTTCTAGAGTTGTGGTATTCCTTACTGGGTCTTCCTTATCATCTGTATCCATGAGAGCGACTGAGCCACTGGCAAGACCGTCATTCTCATTCACTAACTCTGTGGTCCTTACAGTCGTCAGTTCTTCTGCTTTGGTATCAGCAGTTGTAGACATTATAGCTGCACTATCTGCTTCCTCTATCGCATTAATCTTGAATCCTCCAGCCATTGTCGTTTGCTGTGTGGTAATTGTCATGTCGTGGTAATGGCTTTCAGTGGATGCAGTATCTATGTCTGCTGCAGCTGTACTTCCTTCACCTTCTTCCTTCAGTACCTCAGCTGGAAGAACCATGGGGGACACCGTAGTTTGAGCAGGTCTATCATCCTCTTTTACACTTCCTGTTGGAGCCTGTGTGGTGGCATCGTCTTCACTGATGTCATAAAAATCAATAATATAAGGATTGGTCTCAAACTCAGCCTCGTCATAAGGACGGTAAATATAGTCCCCATAATAATAATCGTTGGCCCCATCGTTCTGCTGAAGAACCTCATCATTCTCATGTATAATTAATCCTTCACTTATAGTAGTTATATCACCCACACTCATTTCCAAATTGCCTTCTGATATGATATCGTTGGGAATATACTTCTCTGTTGTTTGTTCCACCTCCTCTGCTGCAATACGATTATGATAATCAACTTTTTCTTCACTGCTTTCGCCAACAATATTCTCTCGGTCTGCACTCACAGAATATTCTGTTATCAATTCCTCATCAAGGAAATCAGTACGCTCTGTTGTATCAAACAAATCTGACCGTTCCTTGGTATCAAACAATTCCTTACCTTCTGTTGTAAAGGAGGCATCAGGAATCTCAGATCTTTCAGTGTTGTCCAATACAGATGTATCATCAAGCACATTCATCCTTTCTGTAGCATCGACAATTTCAGGTGTTTCTGTGATGTCAGATACTTCAGATCTTTCTGTTGCGTCAAGCATAGCAAATCTTGTTGTAACATCAAGACCTTCTAGGCCTTCAGTAATGCCAAGTGTTTCCAATCTTTTTGTCGCTTCAGGCACTTCTGATCTCTCTGTGGTGTCAGCTGCTGTATATCTTTCAGTGGAATGAAGCACATTAGATCTTTCTGTGACATCGATTTTTTCCGACTTCTCTGTGACTTCAAGCATTTCCGATATATCAGTAGTGTCATACACTTCAGAATCATCTGTGGCTTCAGTTCTATTAGACTGTGCTGCAGTATCCAATATGTCTGACCTTTCAGTGATGTCAAGTGTTTCAGGGATCTCTGTGTTATCATGAATTTCAGAATTTTCTAAACTGTTAAACTGGTTTGAAGTTTCTGTGGTAGTGACCGATTCCGATCTTTCAGTGTTGTTAGATGTTCTAGACACAGTTGTATTGCTTTCTTTGGAAATGCTGTGTTCTTCAGAACTTTCTTCAGAATTAGATGTTCCAGACTTTTCTTCTGAATCATGAATAATATCAGATCTTTCTAGAGCATTTTCGACATCATTGCCACTTTCAGGAACGATTTCATTGATACTTTGTAAATCTATTTGATACTTCAGAGTTGTTGTTTCAGATGCACTGGCATCACTCTCCTCTGTTTTAGAATCCTTTACTTTTGATTTTGATTCTTCTTCTGATGAAGAAACTTCCTCTGTTGTTGGAATAATGGTGGTTGTCCTAAAGTCCTCTGCACTAGTCCCCTCCTCCTGTAGGAATCCTGCAGCTGCAAATTCATTGATAAACTCGGTGGTAGTTTCCGGTGGCGTTTTCTGCAACAGTTCTTCTGGAATGAGAATTTCGTTCCTTATACTTCCCGGTGAGACCATCGTCGGTACATCGTCGACAAGAACTTCTAGGAGGTTATCTTGCTCTGACACCGTAGTTCCTGCGTGTTTGGTATCGCTGTGAACTGTTGACGGTTGCTTAAGACGATTTTGGCTTGTGAAGGGTGACTCCGTTCTTTCTCCATGGTCCCGAATTGTTCCGTCTGTAGAGGGTTCCATAGAGTCCACCTGGAGATTCGTTTCTTCCTCCCCTGGGGTTCGTGGGGTGATGGTTGGCTGCCTGTTCACTGAGGAGGTCCATTCAGTCACCCCGTCGTCTGTGGTCTGTTTTTTGTCTCCCGAAATCGTTCCATCCTCGCTGGGTTTCTTTGGTGAGGCTTCTGTTACCCTTTGTCCTCCTTCCTCGTCATCCTTGAGAGAAAAGTCTATAGTGTCCCCATAAATCCTGTCAGTAGATGATTCGATAGCTTCCGTAGGTGTGAAAATATGTGGTTCGTCTGTCACAAACTCTTCGTTATTCAAGTACAGGATAGGAACATCCTTGTCTGCAGAAGTGTCTGTGTTGGATTCGATAGGTTCTGGGACAGTGGTGGTTATTTCTTCTGAACGTAGGAGTTCGGGGACGTGAGTAGTGGCCTCGAGGAATTCCCGATCTGTGGTGTCATTCATGTCTTCAGAGTCTGTGTTCTTTAGTGATCCAGGGATTTCAGTCTCCGTTGGTGGATTAACGGTCGTTTCTTGATCTTGGATCTCTTGACTTTCCGTTGTAATGTTGTCTATTTCATCAGCGCGTTCTGTTTGTGTTTCGCTGTTTCGAATGGCAGAAAACTTATCTAAGGCAGTTAATGGAGGCAACACTTGCGTTGAGATTATCTGTTGGTCGCGATGACCCACCTTATCCGGGTGATGTTTCTTGTCTGCTTCCTGATTAACAAGGGACTGTTGCTCGTCCAGGTCACCTTTTTGTTCATGGTGAATCTCAGTAGTATTGACATCATCAGTCAGGATTCCTTGTTGAAGAGACTGCGTATTGTCAGCATCATCAGCATCATCAACATAGTCATCCTCCGTCTTGTAATCATAGACAATCGAGTCTTCTAAAAATACCGTGTTCACACCAAGGCCTTCACCCGGCCGCTGTTCATGAGAGCCTTCGCTACTTTGGTGAGTGTGGTTCGCGACGTCTACTTCTGTTTGCAAAGACTGGGTCGTCGTGGGAGGCTGGGGGGTCACTCGGGCGCCCACGGAGTAATACAAGTCACTCTGACTCTGCTTCACAGGCGGCGGTTCCTTCCTTTGTCCTCCGGTCTTCAAAGTATTGCTACTTGACCGGCTGGTGGTACTGGGGATTGGTTTTGCTGTTGTCGTTGTGCCTCTTCCTTTCACTCTGACTCTCGTTTCTCCATCTCCCTTTCCCCCTACTTTCACTTCACCTCTCTTATGGATGACGTCCACGTTGAGGAATCGATCTTCGGAGCTCCAGAATTTCAAGACCTTCTTTTGGCCGCGGTTGACTATGATGTCCTCTCCGCACTTCAACGAAACACCTGCAGAAGAGATGAGAAGAAAAAAGTAGAAATAAATGTACTGCTTTTAACTACTGGAATATGTTTATAGATATAAGTATTTGCGTTCTGTGGTCCGTTCCTTCTTAAAAACACTATCTAAGTGGTCTCCTTACAAATATGCAGGCATAAATGTGTATACAGCTGTGGTAGTCTGCTTGCTTACACGTGTATTAGTATTAATGCGTACAGCTGTAAGCATTTTATATGCATGCAAATAAAGCAGATAACTAACATATACAGACAAGATATTCATAAATAAATACAGACAGTTATATCACCAGTATTCATGGATAAGCGAATCGTGTCTTACTAATAAGTAAAGCAGTTAATTATTTCGTGAACGTCAATAAGACATGATTTATATCAGTACTAAAGTAATAAGATAGGGAGGCGAGGGAGAGAGAGAGAGAGAGAGAGAGAGAGAGAGAGAAGGGTAAGAGTGGGGGGGGGAGAAAGAGAATAAAGGAGAGAGCGAGAGAGGATGAGGGTGAGGGAAATGGAAAGAAAGAGATAGATAGAGAGAGAGACAGACAGAGACAGAGACAGAGAATGAGAGACAGAGAGAGAGAACATGAGACAGATAATGAATCTGTAGAGACAGAGACAAAGCAAGACAGAGAGAGCGATAAAACTTGCAGAGTTTAGAACGCTCCCTTACGATTTTTACCCCCCGAGGATACGCTATCACCTGCGTGGCATAAGAAGGATGGAGAAGGACCTGTGCTTACACCTTCCCTGGGGATGAGTGAGCCACATCCTCGTACTTGACTAACCAAGCGGTAAGGACGACCGCGAGCGTCTTACCCTTCCTCCCTCCCTCCCCCCCCTCACTCCCTCTCCCTCCTAACTCCTCCTTTCGTTACCCCTCCCCCTCCTTACTCCTCCCTCACCCCCCCCCTAACACTCATAGTCCGCCTCCTCCCCCTCCTTCCTCACCCCCTCCCCAACCCTCCTCCTCCCCCTCCTCCCACACTTCCCTCACCCCCTAACCCTCCTCCTCCCCCTTGCTCCCCCCCTCTCCTACTCCTCCCTCCCCCCCCCTGCCCCCCCCCCCTCCCTCATTGTAAACCTCTTCCAACTCATCATCCGATTTACTTCCTCTTTGCCTTCCCGTCACACCTGCACCTGCTCCTTCAGGTAGATTCAACTTTTCGGCTCTTTTCGTCTCTATTTCTTCTCATTTTCTTCATTATTGTAAACAAATCCGAGGAGGAGGAGGGGGAGGAAGAGGAGGAGGAGGAGGGGGAGGAAGAGGAGGAGGAGGAGGAAGAGGAGAGAGAGAGAGAGAGAGAGAGAGAGAGAGAGAGAGAGAGAGAGAGAGAGAGAGAGAGAGAGAGAGAGAGAGAGAGAGGCAGACAGACAAACAGACAAACAGAGAGACAGACAGACAAACAGAGAGACAGACAAACAGAGAGACAGACAGACAAACAGACAGACAAATAGACAGACAAGCAGACAGACAGAGAGGAAGCGGAAAATTCGAAAAATTTTAAGACTATTTTTCGTACTATATTTTTAATTCCGTAATGTGTTCCGATGTATGCGTATGCTGACTTAGAACCGACATGCGTATATTATGCTAATTTGTCATGCGTCTTTGTGCTCGATTTTGCGTAAACATAATCAGTCATCTGGTTCCGTAACAAGACCATTATAGAGCTATAGTTATTTTGTATGTTATTATTATCATTATCGTTTATTATTATTTGTTATCATCATTTTCATTGCTGTGGTTGGTATTATTATTATTGTTATTATTATTATTATTATCTTTATTATCATTATTATTATTACTATAGATCTTTCATTAGCATTATCCTTATTATTACTACTATCATTATTATCATTCTTATTATTGTTGTTGTTATCATCATCGTCATCATCATCATCAGTATCATTATAATTAGTAATATTATAATTAGTATTATTATCATTATCATTATTATCTCTATTATCATTATCAGCATTATCATCACTATCAATTTATCCTGATTATCATTACCATTAATATATCTACCACTTATATTTCTGTCACTATTATTATTATTGTTATAAACATCGTTATCATTATTACAAACGACGGATAATGACAAAGACAAATGTAATTTCAACTCCTTTTTAAACATTTAGACGGAAATCCACACATTCGTCTTTAAAATATTTTATATACATAAAAAAATATATATATGAAGATGACAATACACATATTCGGTTTGGAATACTTTAGAAACGTAAATATATATAAAAAAAAAGGATAATCAAATAAATAACTATCAAGATGGCAATCCACTTAAAACACTTTAGAAACGTAATTAAAAAGAAAATGACAAAATGATTAGCGCATTACTGTTGATGTAGCGTGGTGACATGTTTACAACTGAGCAGCCAGCGGACCAATGAAGGCATAATTAGCGAAGGACAGACAGCAGGAAGAACTACATAAAACTGAGAGGGAGGGAGGAGGTTGGGGGAGGAAGAGGGAAGTGAGAGAGCGAAGGAAGAGGGAGAAGGAAGGAAAGAGTGGAGGAAGAGGGAAGGAAAGAGGGGAGGGAGAGGGAAGTGAGAGAGCGGAGGAAGAAGGAGAGGGAAGGAGAGAGGGGGAGGAAGGTGAGAGGGAAAGGGAGGAGGGGGGTAAGGAAGAAGGCTGAAGGAAGGAGGGAAGGAAAGGTGGGGAGGGAGGGAGGGAGAGAGAGAGAGAGACAGACAGACAGACAGACAGACAGACAGACAGACAGACAGACAGACAGACAGACAGACAGAGACAGAAACAGAGACAGAAACAAAACGAGAAAGAGAAACAGACAGAGACGGACGGACAGACAGACAAACAGAAAGAGAAAGAAAGAAGAAATAAATAAAGGAGTCTCATGCGGGGAATGTCACGCCTCAGCTCCGTTTTGTGGTTTATTTACCTTTCCGTTCCCATTTTCCTTCTCCCTGTTTCGCGGAGATGACAGCAACGCACTCTACTAACGTCATGCGAAATTTAACTGCTGATAACAAGTGTAAGAAGGAGAAAACAAGAAATTCGTATCCAGGTCCATTTCTTTGACATAATATCTAGTTTTAAAGTTGTTGAATCATTATGACCAATATACTTCGCGTTTGTAGTAAAAGAAAATGGATAAATATTTCGACTAAAATAGATGATAATTGGATATAATTCTGATGAAGATTTAATCGATATTACATATCTTCTTGCGCTGTTAAAGTCATCATTCACATTCATATCTTTATACTCCACGCTTATAATGAATACAGGTACATATTAAAACGTAAAAAAAATGAAACAACGAAAAAAAAAAATTCAAGATGCAAGTGACGCCGATTCGAACACAGCGTATACCCTGAACACACACCGTCCAGCTGTTGCGCCTGTCAACAGCAGTAGCAACAAGAGCAACAAGCCTGCCTCTTCTGCAACTCAAATCCAAGACGCAGGAAGCGGGGTAGAATATTTTCAACGCAAGCATTCTTCGAGGCGCAACAATCTTGTGACTTGACGTAAATGCGCATAATGGAGGAAGCCTTTTTTACGTGGTTAATGACATCCCTATTGAGTTTGGGATTTGAGTCTGGCCTTGGAGGCAACAATTCACCAATTTTACAAATTATATAAATATTTTTATTATTATTTATTATTATCTTTATTATGGTTCTTTTTTTAAGTAAGGAAATGCATACTTATTTATGTGTGTGTATGTGCGTAGTTTTATTATGCGTCTGCGTGTATGTGCGTTGGGGTGGAGTATGTGTGTGTTTGTGTATATGTGTTCGTAACAAGAAACTCACAATATGTCTACACATGTATGTCGATAGATATATAGATGTACAGATAGCCAGACATATATATAACTAAATACTTAGATAATACACACAATATACATTTACACGAAAATCCTCCCATGAAAATTAATTAAAAATATATTCAATCACCCCTCCCCCCTCCCTGGCTCTCTTCCACAAACAAGCCCACAGTAAACGGTCCTCAGATGCAAGAAGCGCTCATCTGCATCCGGAGGTGACGCCCGCAGCTGATTATTAACTCATCAGCACAGAGGAGACGCAAGGGGCCATGTGGGCTGAAAAGAAGGAGGAAATGAGGGAGGGGCGTGGTGGATGGGGTCGTGGGCTGGGGGGGAGGGGAGGGGAGAGGGATAGGTTAGGGTGGGAAGGTAAGGGATGAGTGGGAGGTAGGGGGGGAGGTGAAGTGTGGGAGGGGGGGAGGGGGGAGGCGTCCGTGCTTGAGGATGCGTGACAAAATATTTATGATGATGAGTATCGTTTTTTTTGTGTGTTGATAAATACGGGGTCTGTTAAGGCCTTTGGTGCTATGTATATCTGGGAAGTGATGAAACAGTGCGTGACAAAGCACCAGTGCTTGTGAAGACACAGGTTAACATGTTAAACACTACATGTCCAGGAATATGTTATTACCAACCGATTTCAAGCACTTGTTATGAAATATATATTTTATGCGAATGAAACAAAAAAACACATGCAGTAGAATTGTGAAATAGCGAAGTGTATGTGCATTCATTTTCTTTGTTCATTTTTGCAGTATAAAGGTGTGTTTGGAAGATACCGCTGTGTGTATTTATTTGTGTACGAGGCGTCAATAAGCATTTGAGTGTGTGTGTGCCTTCACCTGTGTGGGTAAAGAGTGAGTGAAGTGCAGATAACTTGTGTAAGTGCATGCGCAAAGATTACAAAGAAAGAGAGAAATAGAAGAGAAGAGAGTGAGAGAAAGAGAGAGAGAGAGGGGGGGGGAGAGAGAGAGAGAGAGAGAGAGAGAGAGAGAGAGAGAGAGAGAGAGAGAAAGAGAAAGAGAGACATAGATACAAAGATACACCTGTGTGTGTGTGTACATAGGCGTGTGACTGTGAGACTGCTTGCGTGTAAAGCAGGGCGTAACATGGAAGACAGCTAAGTGTAGGCGTGGGCGTGCGAACTTTGAGGTGGGCGTAGCGCAAATGTTT